ACACTGCAAAAATAAAAAATTTTAAACATTTTTTTTTTTAAATAAGTCAATGTCATGAAAAAGAAAAAAGGCGAAAGAGTTATCCTTGATCAGTATTTCTCAATTTCAGCAGATGTATAATACTGGTATTTGAGATAGAAGTATACATATTAAATTAAAAACACATTTTGGGTCAGGTAATTATTGTGGAGGGCTGTCCTATGTCTTGTAGAAATGACAGCATCGCTGGCCTCAACCCATTAGGTACCATAGAAACCACCTCTCCAGTTGTGACAATTAAAAATATCCAGATATTATTGCCAAATGTCCCCTGGGCAGCAAAACTGATGCAGCTGCATACTACTAAAGCAGACGAAGACATATGATGTTGTTGTGTGTTGAGTTGATTTTGACTCACTGCAACCCTACAGCATAGAGTGGAATTGCCCCATAGGGTTCTCTAGGCTATAATCTTTATGAGAGCAGGTCACCAGGTGTTTCTCCCATGGAATGGGTGGGTTTGAACTGTCAACCCCTCTGTTAGCAGTCAAGAACCTAATCACCCTGCTACTAGGGCTCCTTATGAACAACCATATATTAGATGATATTATTGAAACAATATCAAGTCGTGTGGTAAAGGTACTGTGATTAGGTAAAAGAATTTTTAGAGGTGCAGTGTAGTAAATCACCTGGTATGCCTTTTTTAGCCATAAGTCTTTGTAAACTCCATGATGGAATTTGCCATGAGCAACCCAGTAGCTCCTGATTGTTAAAGTTATCCACCTGGGGCATTTCTGTTAGGAGCAGCACAAAATAATTTTCTGGCCAAGTTTGCTCTATCCCAGGTGTATAGAATTCTGATGTTGGGACTGATTAGTTTGGCCACTCTGGCAGGCTCAAAAGGAGCCCTCACAGAGGCAGAAAGAATCTCTCACTGCCAGCTGGAAGGTGCAAGAGACATGCATGGCTGAGAGAGAGAGAGACAATGAGAGACATGCACGAGAGAGCGATGTGCTACTGAGACTGTAGGCTGCTGAGTGAGATGGCCAGCTGCAAGAGACTGAATGTGTTCCTGAACTTAAATTGTAGTCTATTGCTTCTCTAAAAACCCCATAATCTGTGAGTTCTATGTGCCACTGCAGCCAATTATTGAACCTAGCAGTGAGGTGGTGGGTGCTGTGGAGGAACGGTTGGTGTCAGAGTTGATGAAAGGGCTGGATGGAGGCAGCATGTCTAGCTGTGCAGGAATAGGCCTTGGGCTACTGATGGTGATTCTGTCTTCCTTTTGTGGGATTAGAGGAGGTCAGAAGACACCGCCTCCCTACTCCTTTGGCAAGGGGGTACATGCTAAAATATTTATGGGTTAAGTATCAAGAAGTCTGCAACTAACTTTGAAATAATTCAGGAAAGAAAAAAGAGGTGTAAGTGTAGAGAGAGAGAAGAAAGAAAAAAAAAAAAAACATGGGTGTGCGCAACTGTGGCAAACTGTTAAGAGCTGGTCAATTCTAAGTGAGAGAGACTACAAATGTTCACTGTTACAGTCTTATAATTTTCTTTTAGTATAAAATCTTTCTAAATAAAAATTTGGGAAGGATGTGATAGAAGTATATGTATCACATTAAAAATATATCTGTTATATAAATACATATTCCAAAATGTTTGAATTATTTTTCCAATGAGCAAATAAAATGTTGAGATCAAAGGAAAAAAAATCTCAGATGTACAGTGTGATCCAAATTTTGGTATTTTAGAAAAATGCCTGTAAATTTGTGTGTATGCAAGTACATCTGTGCATAAATTTTTCATACAAGAAAGATTAGAAAGAAATGCATCAATATGACTATTTATATCTGCAGTGGTATTACAGGTGATTCTCTTCTAAACTTTATCTAGATTTTCCAAACTCTTTATAATAATTGTATAGTGTTTTTTTAATAATCAGGAAAAAAAATAATAATTTGTTTTATATTTAAAAAATAAGAAACTCTCTCTCACAGTGACTTTTTGCCCACAGTGAAGACTACAAATTTCCTGGAAATAGAAAAGGTGACCAAGGTCCCTCCGGATGAGGCAGTTAGGGCTGATTCTCTGTACTCAAGCACTTCACCCCCTGCACCCTTCTGCCTTCTTCCTCCCTTGTATATGCTTCTTTTCTTCAGTAATCCTTGTAAATATGGCTCATAAACCTTATAAATAAATTTAAGCCCTTACAGGGCCTAAAGCTAAAGATATTCCAGATGTCTATTTTGCCTGCCAAATGGATTAAAGAGGGAGCCACGAGTGACGCAAAAGGCTGACTTCTCAGTGCAGCCTGTAACGACCAGGTCCAGTACTCCTAGAACTGGGATTCTCATATAGGGGTAGTGGGTGCTCAGAAAAAAGGGTACTCTTTCTAAACTTCATAAATTCCCCCTCCAGACACAGAAGTACTATATAACCCAGCAATTCCTAGGTATTTACCCAAGAGACCTGAAGGCAGCAATGTGAACAGGACTAAAATGTACACCAATGTTCACTGTAGCATTATTCTCAAAAGCCAAAAGGTAGAAATAACTTAGTGTCCATCAGTGAATAAATGGATAAACAAAATGTACATATATATAACAGAATGCTACTCAGTCATACAGAACATGCTGCAACATAGATGACCCTTAAAAATGTTATGCTCAGTGAAGTAAGACAAGCACAAGAAGACAAGTATTGTATGATCTCACTTATATGAAATAAGACTAGACAAGTGTATAGAGACTGGAGTTCATTAGTGATTACCACGGTGGAAGAGAGGGGAAGAGTGGGGGTTTCTGTTTAATGAATGTTGGTTTATGGCGATGTGAAATTTCGTCACAAGTGTGGGTGGATAGCATAATTAATTGAATTGATGTCACTAAATTATACACTGAAAAATGTTAAATTGATAAATGTTCTGTTATATATATTTTATGGTTAAAAAACAAAACAAAACAAAAAATCCATTCAGAGTCTCTGACTTGCTGCTGTGGGAGCCACTTAAAGATGAAAATGTGTAGGAACAGAGCCATGGAGTGTCCCCTGGAGGAAAATCACGATCAAATGCCCATCCAACCCTAAGATTCTATAGTTTTCTTCTCCTCCAAAGAAAACAAATCATCAGGTTGAAAATTTCTAACTCATGAATAAATCCTAAACTTTCTAACATTGTCAACTGCCTCAGAGAATACATACATTAAAAAATAAAATAAAAAAGCAAACAAATTTCACAGCTGGGTACTATGGTTTAAAATACCTGTTCTTTACCCAAGGTCAGACAAAAAACCTAATAACAAAGGCACTGCAGACCAAAACACCTATCATCACCTTGATGATCTCTCAAGCAAAAAATTACATAGTCAGAAACCTTGAGATAATTAGCTGTTGCAGAACTCTGAAGTGCATTACCTCCACTCATCTTCAACACAGGAAACATCATCCATTAACCTCGTTTAGGGCATAAAGCACATGGCACATGCTGAGATTTGACTTTGTAGTGCTTTGGGGGAAAATTGGTTTGGTGAAAATAAATGAACGGTATAACACAAGATTATTCTACCTACTAAAAGAAAGGGCACCTTTGGTGCTATGCCTTTGCCTTGAAGAGCTGCTGAGATATTTAAGAGCAGTCCTCATCTCAGTTTAATTCACACTTGCTAAAGACAATCACACTGGGAAATTTTCCAATCCATCCACTTCACTTACAAGGCTTGCTTTCATTTGTCAAGCTGATAGAAAAGTAAGTGCTCTTAAGACCTGGTGAGTGCAACTTCCCCAAAACACCACTTTCCAACATGAATGCCAATAGTAAGTAACTGGAACAAAGCAAGTAATGGTGCCAACTTGCAGTCCTTTATTGACACTCTTTGGCCAAACAGCCTTATCTGGATAGCAAAGAATGGCTATTAATTTTCAACTCTCTATTCATAAACCAACTAGTTAGTAGAATGCCTAAAGGGGTCAGGGCACATCAACTCTGCCGTGCTCTCCCCACCCTGGTAAGAACATGTCCGGTGAAAGCTGTTCTGGTATCAGCATAAACTAAAGGCAATACAATGCCAAGTGCATCATCTAAAACATTCCAAAGCCAGGGAGATGTCCAGCTCATCTCTTTGGGATTCTCTGAGAAAATGTTCCTCCTTATTAGTACATAGATTGGGAATTAATAAAACAGTGAAGTCAGAATTTAAATTCACTGGACATTATTGAGAATGGAGAATAAAGAAGCAATGGAAAGAAACACTCCTCTCTCCATAGGTAAGCACTTAAAAAAGGCTTTTGTATTTGGCAGCAGAGAAATATTTCACAAAAACAGTAAAATACTTATGATCCAGGGCCATGAAAGCTACACTAACCCAAACAGTAACAGGGCTAAAATTAAGAAGATAAATAAATAAAAAAAGAGCAATTGGATTTGTTAAATTCACCCTGCAGTGAAGCTAAACAAACAGTGAAACCAGTGAATATTCCACTCTAAGGCCTTTGCTTCTTCCCTCCTACAAACAAAGAGGCTTCTCAATTTTGGTCTTTCTTGTTGAGGAAATAAACATGGGTGCACTTTCTTAGGATACACTGCAACTTTCTGAACACAGACACTATGCCCAGCAGCCATCATCTTCCCAGACCACACTGCCCACAGTATTTCTGCCTGTGCTTATATGACTCAATGAATTCACTGAGTTATCCCTCTCTAGAGATGGTAAAGTCAGTAATGTCTTCCTGTAATGTGAGGTATGCAACCAGGTCTACATGAAGCATCCCAAGTACAGACCTAGATCTGTACACAGGGTATACTGTGCTCACTCTTGTTTCCATATTCTTTCCCCAAAATGTCCATTTTAGGAGGAAACCAACCAAGAGTCTATCTAGCCTAAAAATTCCTAGGTTCCTCTGTATGAGTGGTAGACAGAGGACCTTATACCACCCTAAAGCCTACCACGTGCTAAGAAGCAGGCCATGATTTGCACTGCATTTTTCCCTCCAGGGAGGATGCTCTAAGCCCAGTACTACTTTACCTTTTGTAGAAATGGAAGCGCTCTGTGAGGAGCAGAAACTGCTTTTCTCCTTGAAGGAAGAATTGTCTGGCCCTGGAGACACCAGACTTTTTAGTGTACTCGCAGATGTGGGTGAAGTTCAGTTCTTCCTTCTTGAAGTAATTTCGAAGACGCACAAAGTCAAAGTAGGAGGGGACATAGATGAGTGTGTGAGACATGACTGCATCACGATACTGAGGCAAAATCTTGCTCACAAAAAAGTTAAACCTGATTTTGAAAAGAAAACGACAAAGTCAGTATCAGTGATCTAGAGTTGAGTCTATAGTATTACCACAAACTGTGAGACTGGAAGAGTCACACTCTCTATCTCACCAAAGAGGATGATATGATTTACCTCATCTCCAAGAGAAAATTTAAGGCTAAAACTTGGTGAGTACATTAAAAAATTAGGTGCTATCATTACTCACTGTAAATATAGATGTAATGCCATTATATCCCAGAGAATTATTCTAGAAGTATATAACCACATAAGTCAGTCAGTCAGCAAATAATTATTGAATACCTACCATATAATGAGCACCATTCTACTATCATGGGACCCTCAAACTAAGTACAACAAAGAGAAAGGGGGGAAACATATACAGAATTAGAGAAACAGGCCTAGTCTTTGAAAGGATTACAATTAAGTTGCTAACATAGTAGCTAACATAGGACCTTTTGTTGCAGTAAACAAGATACTATAATTTAAAAATGCCATAAGCTACAGGGAAGGAGCCCTGATTCATAGTACTGACCCTGCCACTAACTAGCCATGAGACTTAGATCAAGCAACCATTTCTCTCTCAAATGGCATGATTGGTTTTAACTATCTCATCTAATTTGGTATATGATAATCAATAAAACAAATATGGAATCCACTTCTAAATCTGTCCAACTTAAATGTCTCTCCTTGGTCCCCAGGTACCTGATAGGGTTAGGGAGGGGTGGGTTACCTGGCATCTATCACTGAAGCTAGGTTTTCTGCTTCCATCCTCTGGAAGACATGTGGGAGCTGTACCAGGACATGGCTGATGGAGCCTATGGTTGGGACATTCCTCACAGCCACCTGCCAGAAATCAATGAGAGCATGAGGTGAGCCATCCCTATTGTTGACCAAATGCCATCTCTTCTGCCTCATCATTTAGCAATAAACAATGCTTCATGGAGAGTCCAGAGGAAGTTGGGAGAGAATTTACCTGCCCTTGCCAATTGACACAGTGCTTGTTGAACACGGAGTTGATCTGGGCATCCTGCAGAGCCCCAAACAGCAGTGTCTGGCGATAGTACCTGGACCAATTATTAAGACTCCACATCCGCACTCGGGAAAAGTCCACCCCATGTGAGTCCAAGGGCAGTAGGTTCATGTGATTCATCAAGTGCTTTGAGCGGAAATAATACAACCATTAATATTTATTGAGTACTTATGTGCCAGGCACAGCTTAACATTTTACAAGTCTATCACCTAACTTCATGGAGTATGTCCTATCATCTCTTGAATTACAACAACAAAACTGAGGATAAGATAGGTGAGTAATTCACAGGCAAGTAACTTTTGCCCATGGTCAGCTGAAATGAGTAAAATGTTCCAATAAGAACATCCCCAACAAATACTGGCTGCCTCTTGGACCTTAAAAAAAAAAAAGATTAAAACAGGAATATTCCTTTGAAAGAAACTTCTGAAATGCCACCATTATCTCTCTATGGGTCCGTCAGTCCCAAACTTGGCCCCGAAGGGAATGATGGAAAACAGAGCTGCTGTTTTTCAATGAGCTGGCTCTCACATATCAGGAATATTCTCAGAACCACACCTGCTTTTTCTTCAAATTAAGCAACATGACGCTGCCATTAATATGCTTTCTCTATTTTAGTTGTATTTTCACCCTGTAAAAAAATACTAAAGGATAATAATGAGTTCTACAAATTCATTACCTGCTTTATAAATTAGCGTATCTCTTTATCTGACCCAAACTTGCAAGTTTCAAGTCCTGGTTTGTAGGAGAGGTATGTTTTTTATGCCTTTAAAAATCAACCCTATAGTTCTGCGATAAGGACTGTTCCAAAGCACAGTTTTTCAGTCCTAACACTGACAACACTGCAGAGTATGTGGAGAGAGAGAAAAGAAATGACAGCACAAATTACAGTAGGGCAACAATGACATCCTCCATTTCTCTGCAAAACAAAATCATACCTTAAGAAATCTTAACCAATGTTTTTCCATCTCCACTCAAGACCAAACAAAGGACAACGGACACCAATTGCATGAGAAATTGTGCTAGGGACCCACAATTCTAGTAAGGGTGATTTTAAACTAACTAGCCAATTAACCAACCATACTAAAGTGGACTAACAGCAGACAGAGAACTCTGTTTAATTGCTGACCAATCTGTGGGCAGAAGAGGAGGGTACCAGAGGCCTCTTCAAATTGGAGACAGAAACTATCTATTCCAAACTGAGTTTTAACCTGGACTTAAATAACCCTCTACAGCTTAAACCACTGAGCTTCCAGTCACGCTAAACTTGAATGCTGCCTCTCTAAACGGGAATGACCAGCATTACCAAGACATGCTCCCAGTTCTGCATCAGGTAGATGTCAGCTTGGTCAATGATGAGCAGCTCAATAGAAGACAAAAAGTCAAAATCTCTCTTCTTCTCTCCTTCACCACCAATAATGGTCCTCAAGCCCAGAGGGGAGGCAATGATGATGTCTGAGGAATAAAAGGGGGCATAGAGCCGGATGCTTCTCTGAAGTATTGCAACTCCTGCACAAGAAAACCAAGCACATACTGGTTCATTAGCCACTACCGAGCCATTACCTTCCATTTTCCCAAAGCATCTCCCTTCTTTCCTGTATCTTCCACATCTGTGTGTTTTCTCCTTAGCATAAAACCATTCTCAAATTGTTACAATTATTATAATAGTAACAGTAATTATCATCACCCCTCCCTTGCATCTATGGAGCCTTCTAGAGCCTACTCTTTTCTTCTCTGTCAAACTTATCCAGAAAATTGTCTCTACTTTGAGATATTCCAGCCACTTCTCAATCCATTGCAATTTCGCTTCAATTCTTAGGATGTCACTGAAGTCACTCTTGCCAAGGTCACCAAAAGCTTACTGGTCCTCCTTACGACTGTTCAAGCTGAGACTGAACACTCCTTGAAATGCTCTTTTCCTCACTTGTAGTTTCTAAGACTTCAATATTCACTTCTGCTTCTAACACTGAACTGGCCTGTATCTATCTTTCCAGATTCAAATTCCTCTTCTTCCATAAATCCCTAGATTCATCCTCCAGTTCTACTCTACCTAAAGCTTTTGGTAAATTTTCTAACTATGGTTTCAACATCACCTTGACACAGAGTTCTATCCCAGCCCACATCTCTTTCCTGAGTTCCAGACTCTATACCAGCTGCTTGCCAAATGCTATAAATATCCAAACTCCACATTAGCTCTTGTCCTCCCCACCTTGTATCTCCCCATCAGCTGTGCTGAAGCATGTGCAATTCTTAGGTTGTTTCAGGCTTTTTCACTGACAATTCTGAACATGTAGCTTCCAGGCAGAAACATTTTCCTCCACGCCCACAACCCCTTCTGCAACTGGATAAATCCTACTTAAGTTTCAACTTAGTACCTATGTCACACCGCCAGTTCAAACCCACCAGCCACTCCTCGGAAGGAAGATTAGGCAATCTACTTCCGTACTGATACTGCCTCAGAAACCCAAGGAGGGGTCGCTATGAGTCGGGGCCGACTTGACAGTACGTAACAACACCACCAACAACACACCTCCACCAGGAGGACTTCCTTAACCATCCTGTCCTCATTGTGGGTAAGAGAATTTGCTTTCAATGTTCATGGAACACCTGCTGCACATACTGATCATAACACTTATCATCCTGTACTGTCTGTTTCCTCAGACATCCTGTACTTCATTGACTATAGGAACTATACTTTCATTTCTATACTACCAGCTTCTTAGCAATGCCTGAAACACAGTTAGTGAACAACAGATGCTTGTGTAGCAAACATTTTACCAAGAACTTTACTGAAATACCAACCAAGTACATGGGAGCTGAATGAAAGACAAAAGTGTGAAAAGTGGGGTGGGAATTGGTAAGTCATGAGGGGAGATGGTCCCTTGTTAGGCTCTCTACATGGCAGGCAAGAAGGAAATCCACTAGGATATGGATACTGAGTCTATGCAGCCTCCTCAGACTGACCTCACCCAGCTCGTGTCCCTTCAACTCTTCTGAGATCCTCTTCCAGTATCTGACTATGTGCTACCAGCTATGGATGTGCTGAAACATTACTGTTACAAATGTGCCTTTTTTGTACGGTCTTAGAGACTCTCTCCCCTGGCACAGAAGATCCTGAAAATGCACATTGGTTCTATTTAGGAAGCTGACTCAGTGACTTTCTGAGAGAATTCTTAATTACAACTGTGTGAGGAGATTTACACCTGGAGTCCCATAGTCTCTTGGTTTTGACAAGGAGGAATTACCGATTCTGAAGTGGTCATCAATGTTGCCAATAAATACAGCTTCATAATCCTCAGGCCTCTTCAGGTTGGGTGGTTTCTCCTCAGGATCTGATCCGTACTCTCCCTTAAACCTCTTTTTGTTGCTCACAATTATTTTCTTCTTGCTGTCACCCTCTAGGAAGCTGACGAAAAGCTGTACCACCTGTAAAGCAGCTTCCCGGAAAGGCACCACTATCAGCACCTGTGGAGGGAGCAACAAGCAGCTTTGGTGGGGGTAAGGGAAGGAGCCACCTGATGTGAACTTGCTTGAGGCAGAATGAAGAAGCCCTGTGTGCAGCAGTGATCCATCTTTCTTAACATGTAGGCTCCCCATGGCCAGGGCTGCATCTAAGTCAGCTCTTCACATAGGGCCTGGCTCAGCATTATAAGCTGAGCACCTTTCATGTGCACAGTACCATGTCCTGTGGACTTCATTCCCATGGCTCCATGAAAGGCATGTCACAAGCAGAATTTGGGAACTACCTTTTAGGATAAGCCAAATGGATTTTAACAGATGTGTCCATTAGCAAAAACTCAAGGACATAAAAGTATAAACTCCCTGAGGGCAAGAAATGTTACTCCTTTCTCTGTCTCCCACAGAACTTGGCACAGTAATTTTACCCATAAGACCCACTGAAGAAATATATACTGAATATAGTTGAATGAATAAATGAGACAGAAAAGTAGAGAAGAAATAAAGGCAGTAATTAAAGAAAAGTATTAATGCATCACTACTTTTCCAGTATGTTCCCAACACATTTCCCAGAATAAGACCATAATTCAACTGCAAAAATAGGATTCAGTATTTCAAGTATTTCCCCAAATACTTAAAGTTACAACTGGAAAAACAGGAAATGCTTGCTAAATGGTTGATTTTTAAATACCCTTTTGTAAATAATATAATCAATGGAAACAATTCCAGTCAAATCATGCAATCCAACAAATAATAAACATGCTTCCTGGTTACTACCCTATTTGTTTATGCCATACTAAATGGAATCAGATTAACTTTACAATCCTGCTTTCACCAGTCAATGTGGTTGCCCAGAAGAGAAACCAGCACAGCCAAAGGCACATACTGATTCAGCTTTGTACATGCAGGGATGGTGAACCAGGATTAGAGGGGCAAATTATTGTCCCAGCTGTGATACTAACTGTCTGGGCTTCAGTTTCCACAGGTACCAAATAAGGAGTCTGGACTAGAGAATCTCTAAGAACCAAATCAGTATAAAAATCCTAGAATCCTATTGACCTCAATGAGAAAATTTAAAAACATGAGTCTTCTTCAATACAGAAATACAAAGACAAAGGGAGAAGGGGGATGTGTATGAGACTTAGCTCTGTAACATCATGAAGAGTATGAGTAGAAATGAAAGGCATTTTCTACTAAAATCCCAAGTCCACTGAAGCTTAGGCTTATGAGCACCTATAAATGTAAACGTCACTTTAAACAGTAATAACTACACACTAGAAAGTAGGGCTTTTTGTTTTGAAAGGTTATACATTTACACAGCTTAGTGATAAGAATTCTTGGTTCTAGTTCTATGTCTGCTACTCTTTCCCTAATTCCCTTTAGCAAAGACTTCCACTGAACTAGGTCTCTGTCTGCAGCTGTAACATGTAGGTAATGAATGAAAGCTTCATCAAGGTCCCCTTCTAGTTCTGATAATCATAATCATGGCATGATTCAAAATGGGAAGAAATAGCTGCAAACACCTATTAATAATCAAAATGCAGAATGTATGAAGTAGGAATGTATAAATCCAGGAAAACTGGAAGGTGAAAATGAAATGGAATGCATAAAGATCAGTATCTTAGGCATTAGGGAGCTGAAATGAATTGGTATTGGCCTGTGAATCAGACAATCATATGGTCTACTGAATGACAAACTGAAGAGGAATAGTATCACATTCATTATCAAAAAGAACATTTCAAGATCTATACTGAAGTACAATAATGTCAGTGATAGGATAATATCCATATACCTACAAGGAAGACCAGTTAATACTATTATTATTCAAATTTACACACCAACCACTAAAACCAAAGACAAGGAAATTGAAGAATTTTGCCAACTTCTGTAGTCTGAAACTGACAAAATGCAATCAAGATATATTGATAATTACGGGTGATTGGAATGTGAAAGCTGGAAATGAAGAAGCACCAGTAGTTAAAAACATGCTCTTGGTAATAGAAATAATGCTGGAGATTGCATGACAGAATTTTGCACGACCAACAATGTATTCATTGCAAATACTTTTCAACAACATAAATGGCGACTATACAAGTGGACCTCATCAGATGGAATACACAGGAATCAACTCGACCACATTTGTGGAAAGAGATGATAGAGAAGCTCAGTATCATCACTCAGAACAAGACCAGGGGTTGACTATGAAATAGACCATCAATTGTTCCTATGCAATTTCAAGTTGATGCTGAAGAAAATTAAAGCAAGTCCACAAAAGACAAATATCACCCTGAGTATATTCCACCTGAATTTAGAGACCACCTGAAGAACAGATTTGAAGCCGAACACCAATGACCGGAGTCCAGACAAGTTGTGGGATGACATCAAAGACATCATACATGAAGGAAGGAAAAGGTCATTAAAAACACAGGAAAGAAAGAAGACCACAATGATGTCAGAAGAGACTCTGAAACATGGTCTTCAATGAACAGTAACTAAAGTGAATGGAAGAAAATGATGAAGTAAAAAGAGCTGAACAGATTTCAAAGTGCATTTTGAGAAGAAAAAGTATTATTATAATGAATGTGCAAAAAGATCTGGAGTTAGAAAACTAAGAATAACACGCTTGGCATTTCTCAAGCTGAAAGAACTGAAGAAAGAATTCAAGCCACAAGTTCCAATACTGAAGGATTTTATGGAGAAAATATTGAACAATACAGAAAGCATCAAAATACAATGACAGCAATATAGTCACTGTACCAAAAAGAATTGGTTGGCATTCAACCATTTCAGGAGGCAGCATATGTTCAAGAACTGATGGTACTGAAGGAAGAAGCCCAAACTACAATGAAGAAACTAGTGAAAAACAAGGCTCTAGAAATTGATAGAACACCCACTAAAATGTTTCAATAAAGCCCTCACTTGTTTATGTCAAGAAATTTGGAAGACAACTACTTCACTGACTGAAAGAGATCATTATTTGTGCTCATTTTATCTAACAGAATGCAGAAATTATCAAACAATCATCAGTATCATGTGCAAGTAAAATTTTGCTGAGAATAATTCCAAAATAGTTGCAGCAGTAGTACATCAACAGGGAAGTGCCAGAGATCCAAGTGAGATTCAGAAGAGGACACTGAATGAGGGACATCAATGCTGATATCAGATGGATCTTGGCTGAAAGCAAAGAATACCAGAAAAATGTTTACCTGTGTTTTATTGACTAAGCAAAGGTATTCAACTGTGTGGATCATAAAAAATTATGGATAACACTGCCAAGAATGGGAATTCCCCCAGAATACTTAATTGTGCTCATGAGGAACATGTAACTAGACCAAGAGGCTGTCCTTTGAACAGAAGAAGGGGATATTACATGGTTTAAAATCAGGAAAGATGTTCATCAGGGTTGGATCTTTTCACCACACTTATTCCATTTGTATGCTGAGCAAATAATCTGAGAAGATAGATGGACTATATGAAGAATGTGGCATTGAGATTAGGGGAAGACTCATTAACAAACTGTGATATGCAGATGACACAACCTTGTCTGCTGACAATGAGAAGACTTGAAGCATTTACTGATGAGGATCAAAGGCTCCAGCCTTCAATATGGATTACACTGCAACATAAATAAAACAAAAATCCTCACGACTGGACCAGTAAGCAACATCATTAAAAAAAGAGAAAAGGTTGAAGTTGTCAGGGACTTCATTTTACTTAGATCCACAACTAACGCCCAAGGAAGCAGCATTCAGGAAATCAAACAATGTACTGCATTAGGCAAAGTGCTGCAAAAGGCCTCTTTAAAGCATTAAAGAGGAAAGATGTCACTTTGAAGACTACGGTGCATCTTGACCCAAACATGGTATTTTCAATAGCCTCATAGCATATGAAAACCCAACAATGAATAAGGAAGACCAAACAATTGATGCATTTGAAAAGACCATGGTCTGCCAGAGAAATGAACAAGTATATCTTGGATGAAGTGCAGCCCGAATGCTTCTTAGAAGCAAGAATGGTCAGACTTTGTCCCTCGTACTTTGGTCAGGGTATCAGAAACTAGTCCCTGGATAAGGATATCATGCATTGTGAACTACAGGGTCAGTGAAAAAGGAGGATCCTCAAAGAGATGGTTTGACACAGTGGCTGGAATGATGAGCTCAGGCATACCAACTATCGTGAGGACAGCACAGGACCAGGCAGTGTTTCCTTCTGTTGTATATAGGGTCACTATGAGTCAGAACTGATTCAACAGCAACTAAACACAATCATGAAGAAGAGATGTATAATGGAGTGTTGCTATATATGTTTAGGATTTATCTTCTTTATTCTTAAACAGAGTATCAGGGAGGTACCTCCTTTTTACAAATTTGCAGTTAGATACACTGTAAGAACCAGTCCACAGAGCTGACACCACCTGGCCTATCTAATATGCCCACTCCCAGGCTCACTCATTCTTCCATTAAAACACCTGAGTATCTGCAGTGTGCCAGGCACCTACATGCAGTGTCTTGTAGCCTCTTTCTTGAGGGTGAGGCTCTCCTGCTGCCACTCACCTTGGGCCTTGTAAGTCCTTGGTCCCTGAAGTCATCATCATCACCCACCCCAAGTTTCTGGCTTCGACGTCTGCTATTGTTGCTAAGTACCCGGGCATTGGCTTTGAGCACATGATTTATTGCATGGAGGCAGTACACATGGCGGATTTCTTCACCATTCTTCAGGGCTGTTCTTTCTGGGTAGAACAGGTCATGGTAAGAATTCATAATCAAGAAGAGTTCTTTCTGGAGTGGGGTGAAAGGGCTATTTGACTGTTTAGGGCCACATAGAAACCGGCTGTTGGTCTTGGTCCAGGTGGACTCGAGAGGCTTCTGGAGATAAAGTGACTTTAAGTCAATGTCCTTTGGTGCCTTAAATGTTTCCAACTTCCGAAACTTGGATGAAAAAACGAGCTGGCCCAGGGTAGGCCACTAGGGGAGAGATACAACAAGAGCTAAGTTAGAAAGAATACTAGTATTTTACATTCACATACTACTTTGTAATTTACCAAGAACTTTCATGATACATAGATCATCTTATTTAATCTTCACAGCAATCCTACTAAGTAGATACTGTAATGCTTCTATTTCAGTTTAGGAAACTAAGGTACACAGAGGTGATATGATCTAAACAAAGTTTCCACTGGAAGGAATATAGCTGAGGGCTACAGCCCACAGTTTCTGATTCCAATATGAGCTCCTTCCATTTTGTCAGTGTTTCCCGAACTATTATGGAATATGTTCTGGGAGGAGTCAAAATTCATTCTGGGAAAAAAGGCACTTCATGGTTAAACAACTTTGGTTAGCACCACAAAACCAATGTACCTCAGGGAGACTCACAAGGTACATTAGCATACCAAAGGCTCTGACTAGTCCCCTGACAAAACTGTTTCATCCTGTTTAACCCAGATTTTTCCAAACATATTTCAGCATGGAACAATTTTTTTTTGAAACTCCACTATTAGAATCTTAAGGAATACTATTTTGTGGGTTACTAGTTTGGCAATTTTTGTAATATAGTGAAACTGCTGCTCTAAATAAAGGATGACCTCAGCAATAAAAAGGAATGAACTATATATATTGATATATACAAGTTGGATGAATCTCAGTGGAATCATGCTGACTGAAAAAAACAATCTCAAAGTTACATACTGCTATGATTTCATTTATATTACATTTTTAAATGACACAATTATAGAAATGGAGAACAGACAGTGGTTTCCAGGGGTCAGGAATTGAGGGAAGGGAGTGTGCACAGTTATAAATGGCCAACAGAAAGGAGTCTTTGGGTGCTGGAAGTGTTTTGTTTCTTGGCTCTAGTGATGGCTACAAGAACCTACATATATGATAAAATTGTATAGAACTAAATACATACACATAGGCACATGCAATCAAATAGGAGTAAAACTGGGGAACTTGAGTAAGATAGGTAGATTGTATCAATGGAAATTCCTGGTTGTAACACTGTGCTGTATTTTGGCAAGATGTTACCAATGAGGAAAACTAGGTAAAGGGTACAAGGGATATCTGTGTATTACTTCTTACAACTGTATGCAAACCTATAGTTATTATCACAATAAAAATTTCAATTAAAAAAGAGGTTGAATAACTCCCATGAACATCACCAGCATCAGTGGTACAAAAAAACAAAGAAGCAAAACCTGTCCTATAGCTAAATAATTTACTTGTGATGGTGTCTCAAATATTTTAAACAAAGAACAGTGGTAGCTGCTGTTTTCCTGAACATTTATTATCCATCAGTCAGTAAACTAAATTATTTTGAAGTAGGTATTACTGCCTTTTTAATAGATAAGGACAGTGAAGATCTGAGGTGATCATTAATTTGTCTTAGGACATGTGAAAAGCCCACTGCAGATGTCAGTCTACACCCTGGTGTACCTGTCTCCAACAACACTTATACCTAGCCCTCTGTATTACTTGGCTTCCCTACTCCAGTCACAGTGCCATTTCTAGCTACATTTGTGCCCTACTAGGCTCTTTCAGCTTTCTTATGTCCTGCTCCACTATCAAGACATCTGCCACCAGTGTGTGTCACACATCTGGGGAGATCATTAAAACCCAAGACCACTGTTTACTTAGAGCTCTTCTCCATTTGTGACTGGGATGTACTTACTTTCAGTTGGTGGGTAGTTTGGGTATTTGTAGCAACAGCCTGAATTTCTTTTTCTTTCAGTTCTTTGTTCACATGTTGTAGAAATGGATCTAATGCAGAACATTGGGAGAAAATGGCAGAAAAGTTTTGTTCTTTCCTAGTAAATGGCCTGCTGTTCTTCACGATGTTGACTCATCCTTTTCCCATGCACTTTCCTGATCCTTACCCCAGTCCAGGAAGGAGCCCTGGAGCCCTGGTGCTTGGCTGTTAACCAAAAGGTCAGTGCTTCAAACCCACAGCCACTCCATGGGAGAAAGATGTGGCAGTTTGCTTCCATAAAAACTACAGCCAAGAAAACCCTATGGGGCAGTTCCACTCTGTCCTACAGGGTTGCTGTGAGTTAGAATCAACTTGTTGACAATGGGTTTGTTTTTTGCATTTTATTCCACCAGAGCATAAAAACTTCTGACAGATTCATCTTCCTAAAGCATTTCTCTAATCACATTCTCAGCTCAAAAATCTCTGAAAAAAATCTAAACTGCTCAGCCTAAAATCTAAGGCACCGCAGGATGTACTTCTAAGCTACTTTTTCATAATTCTGAACTATAACCAAAAACCAAACCCAAGTGATCAATGGCACTGGGATAATGAAGGCTATGAGGACGTAGAACATGACTAATCTGACTTTCCCACCTGGGCACAGACTAAGAAACTAGACCTGAGGGAGCAGAGACCTGCCTAAGCCTGCTATCAGCTATCCTTGTCCAAAAGTGACTGATATTTGAGCACAGGCACAGCCATGAGGCTGTGGGAGACAGGGTGGAGCTTTCTAGATTTGGAAGTTCTCCCTGATAATAAGGACCAATCAGATGAACTATTCCTGGGTCTCACGAAAACAAAGGGCAGAGAGAAAAAATGGGAAATATTCATCCAATTTATTTCCTCCCTTGGGGAGAAAAGCAAAAGTCTCCTCCCTAGCCCAATTATGGAAATGTGAGGACTGGGGAGTCGGCCTTCCCCACTGCCATTCTTCAGTTGTCTGTTCTCTTAAATATATCTCCCAACACCGCCTAACCACCGAAAAATACAAAATATTTAGATACAGCTGCTGAACTATCTGCTTTTACTGCTGCTCATTTGAATACCAGGAGATTTAACTTGTATTAGGGTACAACCACGTACTAAGCACCTGGTGAATTCAAACAATACATGCTGTGCTCCAACCTTGTGACACTTTGAGGGAACAGTTGCCTCCGCTTTCCTCTTCAAGGAAATTGGTTTCCAAGCTGAACAGTGACTCGTGTTTTGCATCTGTGAACTCCTCAGGGGATTCTTGTTGTGACGTGCCAGGTGGCCCTTCCCCATCTTTTTCGTGAGGGTCAGCAGGTAAGGCCTGATAAGTATCTGCAATTTTAAGAAACAATTTGTAAAAGTATTTACTCATAAATGTAATTATATTTCTGTTGACATATAAAATTGAATTCCTTAGCCTACACCAATACTGGTGTTCAATGGGTAGCTGGGAATTTTTGCTATTATTGTTTAATTTTTAAGAAAATTCAGGTAGTAGTCATAAAGATTTCAAAATTAAGTCTGATCCTGTGACTTAGTTTCAATTCTAGGAACTTATTTTACAATAATACCTGGGTCAAGTATACTAAGATGTACATGTAAGGATGTTCAAAGCAATTCTGATAGTGACAAAAAATATCTGGGGGAAAACAAAATGTCTATCAAGAGCTATTAATGAAAAAAATTAGTGTATATCATTTACAATGGAATACTATGTACTTTAGAAACTAAAGTGAATCCACAGTAACAGACATAGAAAAAAGATCCATGATATATTATTAAAGAAAAAAAGCAAGATACAGAAATGAAGAGATTATTATACACATACATGTAAATATGCACATTTAAACTCATACATCTAGCGATAAAGAAAAGCAGTCGGAACAGTTATATAAAATGTAAAAGGTGTTTATCTCTGGGTGGTGGAGATACAGGTTAACAATACTACAACTTAAATTTTTACAGTAAATATATGTTACTTTTTTAAGTTAAAAGAAATCTATTTTCATTTCTTTGAATTCCAAAAATGCAAAGGAAAACAGAAAACAAATAAAAAAACTTAAGCCTGAGGCAAGGAATTTTTATCCCAGTAAAACCAATCAGTTATAAAATATTAACAGAGGAGTAAGACACCTTAAAGTACAGAAAAATAAACATCAAAAACTACAAGGCTCTAAGGAAAATAAGCATTAAGATAGTAAGATGTAAAAAGTCATATAGACATATTCAGACAATGGAATGTGACTTCAGCACTGGAAAGAAATGAACTATTAATATATAGAACATGAAGGTTCACAAAAACACAATGAGCAAGAGAAGCCAGATGCAAAAGGAAACATACTATATGATTCCAATTATATGAAATTTTAGGATAGGCAAAACTAACCTATAGTGATAGATCAGTGATTGCCTGATGCCACGGATAGGCAACAGACTATAAAGGGACAAGAAAGAGCTTTTGGAAGTAATGGAAATACTTTATATCTTGATTTTTGTAGCATTAACATGGACATAAGGAGCTTGGGTGGTGCAATCGTTAAGCGTTTAGCTAACTGAAAGGTTGGCAGTTTGAACCCATCAGCCATTCCATGGAAGAAAAGACCTTGCAACCTTCTCCCATAAAGAGTATAGCTTAAGAAACCCTATAGGGCATTCTATTCTGTCCTATAAAGTCTGTGAGTAAGAATTGACTCAAGGGCATAAAAGAACAACACGAATGTACACATTTGTCAAAATTCTTAAAATTGGTACATTTATTTACATTATCCTTTGGGCTTTAAACTATGAGCCTTCCCTATTTTACTCTGGCAGTATATAACCACTCTGCATCTTTTCTACACTTTATATGTAGCTGTTCCATACAAATCTGCTGCTTGAGAAGTTTTATGTATTTTTATGGCTATCTCCTATTAAGGAAGCTCTGGTGTTGTAGTGCCTAAGGCATTTGACTGCTAACCAGAAGGCTGGCGGTTCAAACCCACCAGCCACTCCTCAGAAGGAAGACTGGGCAATCTACTTCCGTAAAGATACCACCACCTCGGAAACCCCAGGAAGGGTTGCTATGAGTCAAATTGACTTGACAGCAGGGTTTGGTTTGGTTTCATCTTCCATTATACTTGGTCTCCCTATGGGAGGTATAGTAAACTCATCACTAAATTGTGGATGTTCCCCATGCCCTGTATCTAAGGGACTTTGGGATCACTGAAGTCAATTAAAGCGTAACCAAAAATGTTTCTGCATTTTTCTGGTGAGGGCATTTTCAACAGATTCTCAAAGAAATTACTGAATCCAACAATGTTAAGAATCTTGGCTAGATATTCATGTGCTCTCACCCAACTCACACAGCACGGGGCACAGGACCCAGCGAGCACTGTCTGTGGTCCTAGCAAAGATGTGACCACACCAAAGACACCTACTTTCCTCTTCAGCAGATGCTATTGCCATCTCTTCTTCCACACTGACATCACTATCATCTTCACCACTCATTGCTCGTTCTTCATCTACAGCTTCTTCTTCCTCGTCCTCCTCCTCCTCCTCCTCATCCTCCTCTTCTTCTTCCTCAGAAACATTCTTTAATGTAGCAAGTAGTTTATGGTACCCAGAAATTTGTTCTGGTTCACTTTCTGCTTCACTTTCAGAATTTGAAGAATCTGAACTCTCTGACTAAAAGGAAAATGAGAATTTTAAAAACAAAAAAACTATATTGTTCTAATTGTTACCTTATGTCTATCATCAGACCAACAGCATAAAGGTTCAAACTTTCCTAACTATAAATTAGTTTTTCTGCAAATACCATACAATCCTATCTCTCCAATCAAGCCCAGCATGAAAATTATTTAAAATATTAATCTAGCTATTATCCGGTGGTGTTGGCAAAGAATACCAAATGTACCATGGACTGCTAGAAGAATGAACACATCTGTCTTGGCAGAAGTACAGCCAGAATGCTCTTTATAAGCAAGAATGGCAGGACTTTGTCTGTTTGGGCATGTTGTCAGAAGGAACAAGTCCCTGGAAAAGGAAATCATTCTTGGTAAAGCAGAGGGTCAGCGAGAAATGGGAAGACCCTCAACAAGATGGACTGACATAGTGGCTGTGACTATGGGCTCAAGCATGACAACGAATGTGAGGACGGTGCAAGACTGGGCAGTGTTTCGTTCTGTTTACAAAGGGTTGCTATGAGTTGAAACCAACTCCACAACACATAATAACAACAGCTACGATCCTAGAAGCTCTTCTGACTTTTCTAAATGGTTACCACTCCATGAAAGAAGAACAATGATTTTTTTAAGACAGAACTTTAGATTCTAATGAGATTTTACCTATGTCCCAGATATAGGACATAAACCATTTTTAAAGGAGCAACAAGAGAAATTATAATACAACAAAAGAAAGTAGTTTCTTTGAGTTTGTTACAGTGAGATAGGACCTTTGTTCCTTTTGCATCCTATTTATGGCTTCTTTATGCCAAGTAAACAAAAACTTCCCCTTAGTCTTCACTAAGAACCCTCTGGTAAGCCCCTTTAACTGGTCCTAAAGGGCCAGTTTCAAACTTGGGATAGTTCAAACTCCGGCCTCTGTATTAGTTATCTCAATGATGTTTTTATAGGCATGTGCATTCAAAACTAAGCAATATTACTAAAGTAATAGCCTACACTTGAAATTGAAGAGTGACTATAAATATATATACTCTTGAAAGTTAACAAACTAGAACCCACTATTACAAAGATAGTATAAAGCATTACCAGTTGACAGATCTGTGGTTTTGCTTCCTTTCTTGAAACCCTGGGAAGAAACAAATAATCTTATGGCTATTAGGAAAAAAAAAGTCTAATGGCAAATTCATGTAAAAAAAGACAGAATATACCATTATAAACACACTAAAATTACAGCCATGTAAAAACTATATATGCACTATATATGGACAGGGATTGTAAGAACGTGACCAAGAGATGATAACTGACAAATGAAACATTTAAAGAGGTCATTACAGACACTAGACTCATAAAGTAACTGGCTCTCATCCAGAAGAATGACACAACTTAGCAAATAAAAGACTCTATTTTTTTTCCTCCTCTTTTTTTCTTTTTTTAACTAAATCTTTTAATTAGAATGGCCCGCCAACAGAATGGTGAGATGACCAAAAAGTCCTGTAAGTCTGAACAATTAGAGGAAGTCACAACTACCAAATGCACTGCGTGCACCAGATATAGCCATCTTTTCATTTTAATTGGAGCTCTGGTAGCATAGCGCCTAAGGCACTTGACTGCTAACCAGGGGGCTGGCGGTTCAAACCCACCAGCTACTCCAGTAGTGATACTGCCTCGGAAACCCAAGGAGGGGTCGACGGCACATAACAACAACATCACTACGGAAGTAGATTGCCCAACCTTCCTTCCGAGGAGTGGCTGGTGGGTTTGAACCTCCAGCTTTCTGGTTAGCAGTCAAGTGCCTTAGGCATTATGCTACCAGAGCTCCTTCCGTTGTGATACTGCCTCGGAAACCCAACGAGGGGTCGCTATGAGTCGGGGTCGACTCCACGGCGCATAACAACAACAACAGACCAAAATAATGTCAACGATCCCAACAAATTCTTTAAAAGCACAAGAAATAAAACCAATCTTAGAAAACCTCTGACCATACAAAACTCAGTTCACACAACAGGTGTGTCGTCTAGCATGAAGTTACCGGCTCAAAAGGTTAAGGAGACCCGTGAAGAACCCGTGGGAGCACTCGCAGCTGAGCACTAGCAAGGCCTGACTTCGAGTGCCGCAGCGTGGAAAAAAGACGGCAGCAGTGGTGATTATCACTTACGAGGCCAGCGTACCAAAAACAGGGAAACTACTGCAGACCCTGACAGTTCTGACCTCGGCCCCGCCCCTCCATACCTGTCATAGAAGGGATGCTCCTCGCCGAAATCCCGAAGATGCTTCTTCTGCTTTTTGGTTAGGGTATTGAGTAGCTGGCTCTGGCTCCGGCTCCCGCGTTTGCCCATAGCAAAACAAAAACGTCAGGTTCGCCCACCTCTGAAAGTCGCGTTTTTCACCAGGAAGTTGCTCGGTCAATCGATCCACGTGAGCTCGTCGACGGCGCTTTACGGCGGAAACACAGTGCCAATAAAGCATATCCGCTTTACGTCGCACGTTACGACAGGGGTTAGAATTTCCTGGTCCCGATTCTGCCACCTGCCGAGGCTTCTTGGAAGGACATTTCCGCTCCCGCATTTTTCGCTGAGCGCCAGAACTTAGGCGTTCTGGGCTTCCGGCTTCTCGGCAAGAGGAGTATGAATGGAGGATGTTTTGTGCTTCCGTTTTGATTCGGGGAATCAGTCTGTGTAAATGTGTAGTAACGAATATAATTGAGCAGTGTAAGGCGCTTGACTGTTAACAAGAAGTGGGTTCAAACCCACCAGCAACTCCTCTGAAGGAAGATGGGGCAATCTACTTCCATAGTGATACTGCCTCGGAAACCCAAGGAGGGATCGCTATGAGTCGGGTTCGACTGGGCGGCACATAACAACAACAACAACAACAATTTTATATTATACCAAAATTGAAAAGAAAATACCAATCGATATTTAATAAAGCAGCAATGTATTTATTTCCCTAGTGATACCGCCTCGGAAACCCAAGAAGGGGTCGCTATGAGTTGGGTCCGACTGGAGGGCACATAATGACAACAACAACAGCAACAGCAACAACCCCTCCTTAAGTTCCCAAGGCAGTAGCCCTATGGAAGTAGATTGCCCAGTCTTCCTTCCCAGGAGTGGCTGGTGAGTTTGAACTCCCAGCCTTCTGGTTAGCAGTCAAATGCCTTAGGTTCTATTCTACCAGAACTCCTCCTTAGGCACGAGGCCACCAGAGATAGGCCTTGTCATAAGTCTGATTTTGCAGGTGAGGAAGATGATGCTTAGAAAAGGTTACATATTGGCAAGGGCAGAATTGAAATCCCAAGTTTGTATGATGAGACCACAGGCTTTTACTCACTAGGCTCTGCCGCCTGCATGTACGTCCAAAAAATAAATAAAAATAATAACTCACTGCCTTCAAGTCTATTCAGACTCACAGCGACCCTTGCATGGTTTCCAAGGCTGTAACTCTTTGTGGAAGCAGACTGCCTCATCTTTCTCCCAAGGAGCAGCCAGTGGGTTCAAACTGCCAGCCTTTTGGCCAGCAGCCCAATCCGTTAACCACAGCACCAGCAGAGCTCCTTGTGTGTACTCCCAAGATAGTGCAAATGGTTAATCACTGGACTGCTACTGAAAATGCTGACAGTTCCAACCCACTCAGAGGCACCTCAAGAGACAGGCCTGGTGATCTGTGGAGCACAGTTCTACCCTAACACACATGGACTCACTATGATTAGGAATTGACTTAATGCTCTAGTAGTGTAGTGCCTAAGGCACTTGACTGCTAACCAGAAGGCTGCAGTTCAAACCCACCAGCCGCTCCTCAGAAGGAAGGTTGGACAATCTACTTCCATAGTGATACTGCCTTGGAAACCCAAGGAGGGGTCTCTATGAGTCGGATCCAACTTGAGGGCACATAACAACAACAATAACATGTTTGGTTTTTTTGAACAATAACATAAGGCTGATGTTTCTGCCCTCACCCCTTGCATTTTCTGAAAGTATTGGAAGAGACCCTGGAAACAAACTTGGTCCCACAGTCTTCATTTTATAAAAGCAGAAACACATCCACAGTGGCAAAGTGACTTCCCTAAAATCACTGAGAAAAGATGGTAGAACTCAATCCAGTGTCTCAAAACTGTCAAGCAAAGGAGAATGAAGAAAGCTTAGAGAGTGAGAGGACTATTCTCTTGATTGTGGTGGTATGTACACATTATATCTAAAATTCATTAAATTGTACACTTAAAATTGATGAATGTTACGTACATAATAACAGAAGAAAAGGCAAAAACACAAAACTGGACTTGGTACTCAGGGATATGCGGATTAGTGCAGGGTTTTTTAGACCACAGGCTAAACATGACGAGAAACTTTTTCCAAATAGTAACTTATAATATGGTCTAATAAAAAACAAAGTGCTAAATCGTAGACCAGGAGAGTCTCTAGATGGCACAAATGGTTAAGTGCTTGACCACTAGCTGAAAGGTTGGCAATTGAAACCCATTTCCAAAGCACCTGGGAAGACAGGCCTGGTGATTTGCTTCTGAAAATTCACATCCTTCAAAATCCTATGGAACAGTTCTACTGTGCACACATGGGTTCACCATGAGTTGGAATCAACTTGATGGCAACTAACAACAACAACAAATCACAGACCCCGAAGTTAATCTCAATATTTAAGGTAAAATAGGAGGTTCTGCAATTGGGGCACTTCTGTGGAAAATTTTGAGCTTTGCTCGGTACTATGATATACCTGTGGGAAGTTAAAATGATAAGACTAGCATCCTATTCTTGTTTCTAGTGATCATTACTCCTAATTAGACTCTGAGTATCTGGGATTGGAAGAAAGTGTATCAAGAAAATATGCAAACAGAACAGGTGGTGCCAGCACCTGGCCCAGCCAAAACCAAACAAAACCACTGCCATCAAATTGATTCCAACTCATATTAACCTTACAGGACAGAGTAGAACTGCCCCACAGGGTTTCCAACACTATAAATCTTTACAGAAACAGACTGCTTCATTTTTCTCCCTCAGAGCAGTTGATAGGTTCAAATCACCAACCTTCTGGTTAGCAGCCCAATGCTTTACCCACAGTACCACCAGAGCTCCTGGCCCAACCAAGAAGCTCATAAGAAGACATCTGTCTTCTGTCTAATTTTGAAATAAAAGAAACAGTCACTTATGCAAACAAAAGATGTTTGCAAAATGTCATCATATATTTTAAGGCACTAACCACAGTATTTACCGGCCATAACAATAAAGACCATACTTTTTTCCCCCTCCACCCATCCTATCCCAAGTGTTCAACCTTCCCTCCCCAGAGGCAACCAGTTTCTTGGTATTCTTCCAGAGACCTATAAGGAGCTATGGTCTTGAGCCATTGAAGTGATGACTCCTTACTCTCTGTAGTTTCCACATCCTTATAGCCTGTGTGCAGGTCTAGGCAAAAATTTCCCTTACCCCTCACCCCCAATCAGTCTCATCACTGGCTCACTGAGTTATGGGAAAAATAACAATAACTCTCTTCTCCTGAAAATATTTCTATTGTTGTTGTTGCCTTTGATAAAATAAAATGGGACCTTTTGTGAAATCTAAACCCTAAAACTGAGAATTTAAACATTTTTTTGTCATGTCTAAATTGAAATTCATTTAGTTAAAATACAGAGAAGATACATATACAAACAAGGGAAGACCCTAGGAAAATTGTAATGAAGGCAAAATTTTTCTTCTTCCCATTTTCACCCCAACCCTTCCCCTCCCCCAAGGTTTTCTCCTTCCTTTTTTTCTCAGGCATATTGGTATTTTCAAGGAGTAAAAGCAGTCCAGGAAATATCTTTTCTGTTAGTTCACAAAGAGATGTTAATGAATTAATAAGTTACTTTTCCTCAGGGTATCTGTGGTTTAGAGAAGATACTCCAGGATAATGATTCTCAAGGGTAAGAGAGGGCTGACTGTCCCTTAGGACAAGAATACCAAAATATACAGGAAGGTGTCAATAATTTTTTAAAAATTCTATGGAGAATTTCAAATATATACAAAAGTGGACAAAATGATACAATGAACTCCCATGTACCCATGACTCAATTTCAACAATTTTCAACTCCAGGCTATTTTGTTTTTTGTTTCATATGTATGCCCACCTACAGCTCTTGCTCCCACTCTGTGTTACTTTGAAGCAAATCCTAGACATCCAGTTATTTCATCAAGAAATATTTTGGCATGTATTTCTAAAAGATAAAAGTTCTTTTTTTAAAAAAAAAAAAAATATATATATATATACACACATATATATATACATACACACACACACACAAATAGCCACAATATTATTATTTCACCTAAAAAATGTGAAAATGATTGCTTAACAACCTGCCAGTAGTCCAATTTCTGATTGCCTCATAAATGTCCTGGGTGTTTTTTTTTTTCCCCCCACTATTTGTTGGTTTAAGACATTCCTCTGTTCTCTGTATTTCCCATGAGTTGGTAGTTAGATTTAAAAGTTTGATCAGATTGGCAAGATTGTGTTATAGGTTATCACCTATATTATATATTCTTCCATCAGAAGGCATGTAACATTCTTTTTTGATGTTGGCAGCCATTGATGGTCATTAATTCACTAAGGACTGCAATAGGGTGATGTTCTATAATTTTCTCTTCATTTACTTGCTGGGCTACTTCTATGAAGACAAATATCTCCCTAAAATTTTGTTACCCCTGGTAGAGTTCATACAGAAAAGGTGCAAGAAATACTTGATTCTTTCCCGTCACTTACCAATTTTCAACATAAGCAATTGCTTTATTAGATCTTCCAGTGGTGACCAATCAAGTTTTTGTTTTTGTTTTTAGTATCATATATGACCTTTTGGAGTTATACAAATTTGATGTGTTTTAATATGTTGCAAATATTATCATGTATCTTGTTTGAAAGGAGCTCTGGTGGCATAGTGCCTAAGGCATTTGACTGCTAACCAGAAGTCTGGTGGTTCAAACCCACCAGCCACTCCTTGGAAGGAAGGTTGGGCAATCTACTTCCATAGTGATACTGCCTCAGAAACCCAAGGAGGGGTCGTTATGAGTCAGCTTCAACTCAACAGCAATGATTTTGGTTTGGAGAGTTTATCTTGTTTGAAAGAGCTTATTTGCTGTTTATCTATTTATTTGAAAAGATAAATAAACCACTTTCTAATGTAAACTACAGAAAGTAATCAGGGATTTATCTGAGATTCTCAACAGAGCCAAGGGGAGCATAGCTGAAGAGTATATATCATATACTGAGGGTGTTTAAGACTTGAAACTTAAGTGGTAACTTATATGATAACTTATGTAATAACAAGGGTACATAGGCTTGAAAAATACTGAGAGCA